TTTTCGCAAATAACGGTATATAAGCAGCCTACTTGATTTTGTTCTTATTTTTTCGAACAGGCTGTTTAAGACCCAATGCAACAAAATTTGCAGTACAAAAAAGTTAGTGCGTATTTGATGACCAGATTTTCAATTTTTTTAATACTCACAATATGTATAAATTTTTTAAGAAAAAAAGGTTCAATAAAATATTACTGAGAAAATTTTATTCAATGATTTCGATATTCACTTTGGTTGTTCTTATTATTTCGAACACGTCTGTATATTTAAAATGAAACACTTTCATCTATAATTCTTCAATATTTGCAATATGTAATACGAACTTTATTTTCATGCTTTTTACCTGGTAAGTAATTTTGTATGAAATACATGTATGTATGTAGTATGCACATATGCAACAGATATATGCCATAGTATTTATATATAATATATAATTAAAGATACATGCTTGTACATATGTATGTATTTAGGTATATGCAAATGTATAGTAATAACGTTTAATTAAAAAGTATACATAATTATTAGTAAGTAAATATTATAGTATGTTATTTATCGGTAGTTTGCAATAGAAAGGCTACGAGTAGCGCAGCGCCACATTTTCTTCAATTTTAAGTTACTTTTTTTTTTGAAATTCTACAATTACAATAAACATTATACAAATTTAAGTAGATCATTAAAAAAAGAAGCAGCCAATTTTTCTAGCCAAAATTTTATTTATTTAAAGTATGCATAAAGTTCCTTATCACAATATAATCTAAAAGAAGTTAAACAAAGTTCCAAAACTGAAAAGAAGTAAAAAAAAAGTAATTACAATTCACATTGTTTTTGTGATATTTCACTTTTTGTTCACAAAATTTTGCATTTTTTCTGACATTTATGTATGAAATATGTAAGTGTTGCTTTTTTAATGTCATGTGATTTTCGTTATTTCGAAAGGCTATGTTACGTACAATGAGAGAAAAGAATGTACATTTAATATTTGTTTTCTCTACCAGCAATGTTTTTTTTTTACGAGCGAACTTCGCATTTTTTTGGAAAACTTATAATTGAAATTTTAAATGTATTAATGCGAGCAGACATAATTTTCGCATTTTAGGTTTATGTTATGCAAAAAAATACATATGTATATTATTAGGGAGCATAACAAAGAGCATAAATGAAAAAAATAATTTTCAATATTTTTAATAATTTTAAACTTTATAAAAATTTTCTGTAAGCATTTTGATATGAATATATGCTGTCTCTTATACACATCTTAATTTATATAAAAAATAATAAATAATATTAAAAAAAAAAAATTTATTTTAGTTTTTAAAAAACAATATGTAACACTTTAGGTTGAAAATCACAACTTTTTGACTGTAAAAAAAAGTATAAAATTTAACTTTAAACGACAATTTTTAATTTAAAATTTACAGCCTAAAAGTATGTAGGTAGCAGCTAGAAAATAAGAGTCTTTGCTATGCTCATGAAAAGCGCGCGCATGCTATAAGTTTGTTTTGCTGTTTTCAACGCTTTTTCAAATATGATAAATTTTCAGTTTTTTTTTTTTTTATTAAAAATACAATTTGTGAGAAACCCGTTTTTCACCACCGATACAAATACCATATAGTAGTTTTTATATTAAAATTGAGTAGCGAAATAATGCAAACTCTTGGTATTTGCTTTTAATTGTAATTATTTTGTTTCGAATATCCAATGCATAACCGCTATAATTGTAAATTTGTAATTTTTCTGTTACGCAATAAAATAGTATTGCTACGCTTGCAAACAGAATAGATATTTTTTAGCTTTAAATATATGTAGCTGAGCTAACGCTGTTGACTCATACTGGCTGCTCTCGATGCTCTTTGTGACTTTGTGCGCATGCTTCCTTAACTTTGGCTAAAATGTAGAGTTCTTGACTTGCTTTTTTAGAAACCGCTGCCTTGGTTTCAATTTTTGGTGATAATTTTTTATTTTTTTTTTATTTTGTATATCCATTGCAAAATCGTACGCCACAAATAAATTGAAATTTTTTGAAATAGTTTTTTTTTTTTTTAATTTTATGGTGTGTCAATACAATTTAATTTTTTTGTTTTTGGTTTTTTTTTGTGGCTCACTTAATTTTGCGCGTGTTTGCAAAACGCAAAATGGTGTCTGTCACACATACATACGAGGAGAAATGTCTAAAAAACAAATAGTCTACATTTTTATTTCGCGATACTCATCTCTTTACGTTTTTTTTTTCTTTTTTTATTATTGCGCAAATTACAAAATTTCAATTTTTTTCATCAAAAATTTCTACTCATAATATTTGCAGTGTTTTCGTTCGTTTCTCTTTACAAAAATTTTATATTAAAAAATACAGCAATTATTTACTCAAACTTCAGCAAACGTACATATACAATAAATTTGCGAGAATTCAAATCATAGCATGAAAACTTAAAATTACATTCGGTGTCTCAAGTTAAAAAAAAAGCAGTTCACAAACATGCCTCTTAAATTAGTTACAGAGGAGTGATTGATACACTCATGCCGGTACGCTGATGGATGTCGGTGAGTATGCGGTCTATGCAGAAGCGGAAGTGTCTCGCTCGTGGTCATAGCGTTTTTATATTTTTATTTGCTATTTCCATGCGCCTGTGTACGGTTACAACAACGACAGCAAACATACAAGACTGTTATTTTCGCACAACTCCTACAACATTTATTGGAGCACCACAATGAAAGCTGACAAAAAATTTAGTTATTGTTGTTGTTTATTAATTTTTCGAATTTGCGATTCCGTAGTTTTTTGCGCTCACTCTTCTATCTCGTTGTTTATTGCTGTTCCGCAGGCTTCGTAAAATTCTTATACCCTTGTTGTTGTTGGTTTTTTATGCAAACAAATAATAGTAGAAATGTAATGTTAAAGTTCACACTTCTAGCTTTTTCTGCATTTCGTCGTCTCATTTTTAACGGTCGATGTCATTTTAATTTTCATTTGTTTTTGTTTTATGTTTTTTTTTTTTTAATCTGCTGATAATACTACTTTTCGTTTTACTTTTTGTTGCTGTTGATTAATGTTGTTGTGGTTTTTCATTTGTCAGTTGTTTTTGTAGAAAGAATGCAGTTATTTTGTGATTAAAAAGTGCTTGTGGTTGTTGTTGTTACTTAGTTGTGGTTTGTTGTTTTTGTGTGTGTGTTTAAATTGTAATTAATTTGTTTCGTTTCTTTTTAGTCACGAATTGGAATAGTTTGTGGCTTAATATGGCCACCGTCTCCTTCGGAGACAAAACGTTTACGTCCTCTGCAAAAAAAGGAAAAGGGAAAGTAAAATTAGTTATATGCAATTGTTTTTGTAGATTTTTATTACTATAATTATTAATAATATCATAATAAATAATTTATTTAAATAAACTAAGTTAAATTCGTAATCCTGCTTATGCAATTGCAAATTTAATTAAGAAAAAATATATATATTTTACGCCTCGAGGGAAAAAATGTAAAAAGCTGAAAACTTGACTGACGTAAAACTGTTGTTTTAAAGAAGTCAACAAAAACAAAACAAGATTTTAAAGTTAAATGCAAATATAATTTTTCAAAGAATTTTAGGTTAGAAATTGATATTTAGTGTATCAAGTGGAGCAAATATAATCTAATAGCGTTTTATTTTCTGACAAAAATGTTGCATTTATACTGCTCTATGCACGGGCTATCAAAGTGTGTTTTCTTTTTTCAAAGAAGTGTCTTCTAAATAAAAAGTCAAAAATGCAACATTTTCTACCCTCTTAAAACGTAAGAGTGTAAGTTGTTGCCCCGTGAATTTTCATTTATGGTTTCTAAAAAATATGTTAATAAAGTAAAAGAAAAAGTGTTGAATTATATTTTTCATTTCATTAGTTTCGTAAATTACAGTTTTAAAAATTTTTTATATTGTATGTAGTAATTATAATATGAACGAAAACAATGCAACAGCTGATTTATAAGAGGGTGCCATTGTTTGTTCTTTTATAATTTAAGAAATAGAAAATTTCGCAGGGTGTAATGGAACATTTGTAATAAACTGATAATAGTTCAGAAAATTTGACATTTAAAAAAAAAATAAGAGGATGCAGATTAAATATGGCTTGAAGTAGTTTACAAAAAAAAAACACATTTGATATAATTAATTATTAGTATTAAGATAATTTTACATTTTAGTTTAAATAAAACTTTTTTTTTTAATTTTTAAGCAACATAACCTAATTTTTTTCTTTAAAAAAATATCTAAGCCAAACAAAAGACTATTTGTTTTATGACACCAATGCCAGCGGCTAGATAAAGCACACTAAAGGTATGTAGCGAAATCAAAAGTGAAAGTAAGTGTTTAATTTTCATTGATTTTGTGACCGCATTCACCGCATGCGCGCATATTTTGCACTATAAAAGCCTTAAAGCGACCCGCACCGCCAACTGCTATTACTATCGCCCATCAATAGAGAACTCCTAATCGACAACATGCCGACAAATCCAGCACACTCAGGCAGCTGGTTGCTCTCACGGCTGACGTTGTTGTTGCTTATTGCTCAATATCTTGCAGGGATGAATGCATGAATGAAAAGTGCGCCTGGATGTTTGTTTTGATTACTGCAGTGGCTGGAACGTGCAACGCATGTGGGTTGATGTACGCAAGACTTGCCGCAGCAGGACCGGTTTCTCAGGACTCAGTCGAAAGCTTTCGACACTTTGACGTATTTACAACCCACAAAAGTATGTATGTATATGTACATAGTATTTATTTACGGAGAGTTCTGAGTTTTAGGGAAGCTTTTTAGAGCTCTACGGCGGCATTGAGAACTTCATTGTGTGCGGCGAAACATTGGGTTAGTGAAGTTTTTTGACCGTTTCTTGATTAGTGGAGGAACTTGTGTCTGAATGCATGTGAGATTGCAATCTGAATATTTATTAGTCGAATAATGTAGCATTTTTAAGAAAAATCCAAGGTATGACATTACATAATATTGTAATAAAGTAATAAAAATATAATATAAAAAAGCAAAGTAAATGCTTGGTAAAATTAGAGATACTTAGAAAAATGGTTAACTCTGAGCTTCAATATAGTTTTTTTTTTAGATAATAAATTACATTGCGCCTAAATGTAGGCAAGGGTGCACGAAATATGAAGTACAATTCGTACCGGGCTTCGTTCCGGAAAAAAAACGAATTTGGTCGAACCTGTAACTAACGGTCCATTACTGAAAAATAGTGATTTTAAGCATCATAATAATTGTATTCTGTAATCTCATAATACAAAGGACGGTTTTACTACACAAAGAAATCAGCGTATTTCTACACATTTTTCGAACTTGATTTAGTGTTTTGTGTAAATTCTGAAAAAAAAACTAGTTTCGAAATATTTTCTAAAAATTGTTGAAGAACCCAAGCCACTACTCCTCGTGTATACCACGTCACATACATGTAGGTATCTGCTTGAGCTTTGCAAACATAAATTAAAGCAAAACCAAAACTGTCGCTCAATCGACCAACGCATGTACACGACTGATGGCCACCTAGTCGGGCATGACTGTGTGTGCGACAGCACCGGAGATCACATCATATTTTGCAGCTAATTTTACAACTCGAACACTTCTAAAGAAGCAGCGTGTTAGCTTGGCAGCTAGTCGACTGTTCGTCGTGAGTTCATTCACCCGCTGACCTTTTTTTCCATTCCCTCATTTTCTCACTCAGCGCTGAGGCAGCAGTGACAACAGCAAAATGAACGCACGTTGGGCGGCAAAGCAGCAGCTGCAACGGCAACTGTAAGAGGAGGAGCGCAAAAACAGCTGCTGCACACTCGACCAATTCAGCCTGCGTGGATTGTATTTATCAGCGATTGCAAAGCAAAGCCTTTTTCTCGATCTCATGCTATTTTCTGCCGCCTGCGCGTTTTGTGCCATTCTTCCATTTCGTTGCAGCGCTAATACATATATTTTCGTATTGACTCTTTTCGCTTTTGGATTTTGCTTCTGTCGGCTGAAACAAGTTTTCTTTGCGTTTGTTATTTGTGTATTTGGTAGCCACTGCTGTCGCCGCGCGCCAATTGCGCCCCAACGAGGGTTACAAGATCGCCTGATCGCTTTTCGTTGGTACCTTTGGGCGAACTTTTCGGCTTCTTGTTGCTGTGAAACCGCTTTGTCGCCGAATTTTTGCTGTGCAATGACTAACCGGTAACGCAGTAGCAAGAAGAAAAGCATAGCGCAGCGACCCAAATTGATTGCAAGTTTTATCCTCCAGTTTGCTGCACCAGTAAACACCGAAGTAAGCAGCACAGCAATTTATCACACCATTGATTTATTGGAAACGCTAAAAATTACACCACAAAAGGTCTTCGAAAATGGAGAAAAATATTTAATCGGGCAGTTAAAAGCTTAGCTATATGTTAAATAATGTTTTAATTAATTATTTTGCCATTTTTACAAGAAAGTGGGATGCCGGAGGGAAAAGTTCACTGAACTTTATTGGTTTACAAGACCATTGAAGCAGTTTGCGATATGTGTCTATATTATTTAATTTATATAACAAGTTTATGAAAAATTGGTTTAAGCGTTGACATGCTTGTATTGGCACAGCTGCCTATTTTGAAGGCGATTTGTATTAAAATACATAACAATAATTTTTTTTTTTGTCAATCCGGGTCAATTTTGATCAGATGGTATATGTTTGTTCAAACCGATTATGAAAAAGGTATAAAAGCTAGTTAAAAAAACTAGTTTTTCAGACTTGTCTGGATAAATTTTATACCGCTATATTATACAAGAAGACTTTAGTGGAGATATACGCTCGTAGGATGGGGCTGACAGATCGATGGCCTTATTGGCCTACCAGATCAACATAAAATAACCTAGCCACAAAAAAACATTTTTACATAAATTAGCTAAGATATCAGATCGAAAACCCATCTGTCCAAAGGAGGTCCACATATAAACATATATGTAGATCGACTCGATATCGGCAAAAAATCAAATTCCTGACGGTAGAAATCTTATAATCAGATAAAAATTATTCTAAAAAATACTTGATACATAAAAAATATATAGTATTTATTCGAGGTGAAATATATACTAGAGCAGAAGCTTTGAAAATAATGAAAAGGAAATAAATGCATCGTAGAAAAACCAAGAAACCTATCGGAAACGAAAAAATAACCTCAAAAATTATGTGAAAAATTCAAATAATCAAGCGCTTGTAAAGCTTTCTGACAATTTGGACCTTGTGATGTATTTAATATTATACTAAAAACTCGCATGCTCTGTTGCACTCTGTATTCTCTGCTTCTTCTAGCAAAAAACCAAAACATTTTTCATGTTCGCGCATTTTTTTGAATGTTTCAATAAATCTTTTGTTATTATTATTGTTTATATTTGCTTGTGTAGGCGTATTCAGTGAACGAGATTTCATTGACATTATTTATAAGTTTCCCTTACAACTTCCCTCCTTGGTCTGCTTGCAGCGAGAAAGTACACGTGTAGAACAATTGTAATAAAATCTATTTATATACCAAAAATTATTTCAATGCTGCAGATAAAAATATCATAATATGATGGTATTACTCAGTATAAAAATAATAACATTGTAGGCGTATATAATTAATTAACAATTAAAACAAGTTTATCAAACCTATTAAAAATATTAAGTAATTTTTGAATACGCGATATTTCGTTAATGCAATCTTATTATATTTACGGAAAAAAAAATTTTAAAATAAAAATAAAAAATGTATATAAAAAAGTTGAAAAAAAATT